ACTTTACAGTAGCCGGTGGCTTGTGGAGTTATGAATGTAGGAAGATTGAGAGGTGGAAATATAAGAACATGATGAGGTGAGGCGATGGGAGGAGAGTCAAGGAGCAGCAAGGCCCGGGGCAAATGGGTGGTTAGAGAAGCTGAGGAGAAAAAAGAGAGGGATGATGGAATGATGAAGAGCAGAGGGAGGGAAATGTATTTGAGGAACCGACAAATAGATGGAGATAAAAGTGTTGTGGAGGTTACCACTCAACTGCTTCACAGGCTGAGTAGTCTAAGGTTTCCCGATTACTGCGACACAATCTGATCCCGACTTCTCCTTTTGAAATGAACCACTAGAAATACATCATAATAATTTAACAAGTGAGGAGTTTTATCTGCCGTGACCCATTAGGTTTCAGATATGACGATTCAACATGATAGTATCACGCTTTATACTGTACCTGCAACATAAACTGAGCAGACCATTCATTTGGATGAACAAAGGAGAGGCTGAAAGCTCCACAGTTTTAGGGGAAAGGAGTCACTCATAGCAAGAAACTCAGAAGTAATTAGCACCCAACTTCCGCTCTATGGAGATTCATAGTCTCTTTGTTGTTAATGTTTTGGTTGGCGCACATGTAATAGCCATTTAACTGTTTTGGATTACTCTCATCGCACCATTAACATAATTCTCAGTAGCATCAAGCAGATGTTTCCTTCTATAACTCTTGATAATCCCCCTGAACACTACATGATTCTGTTTATGTTCCACTTTCTTTATCAGAGGATACAGTATGACCTCAGCCATTTGTAGTTGGTGGTGCTTTTTGAGATCTTCATTGCTGTTGCTATGCCCGGTTTCACCAAGCTAATCGATGTCTTTAAAATGCATGTGCCCCCGCAAGTGTAGGATGTAAACAAACAACTAAGGAACCTCAGCAGCATTCTCATATTTGTTTGCAGCACTGTGTTGGGGAGTGTTTCTATTTTGGTAGAGTTTGACTGTGCAGGAACATAAGTATGAGGGACAGGGAGCGCAGAGAGGGAGAATGCAATTACCAGTACACAAGGGCTGTCCACTCCAAAAACGACAACTATAATTATAACTGGTAACATAATGATGTCAGAATCCACACTGATGAATAGTAAGTAACACAACAGTGGTGCCAACTGAACTGCACTGCATCTGTCTCTTTCAGAAACTGTCACCTAGAAACGTTACAATTGTGTATAGAAAACATAAAGGGCCTACTTATGAACATTCACCTGAGGAACATGCTAGAGCTGTTTACACAATAATCACAAAAAGAAGATAATAATCATCAGTCCTTTCATTTCGTTTTCTAGGTCAGAAATGGAAGGACTTGCATGGCACCCTGTACTGTAAATGTGTTTGGATTTCTTTTGGCTGTCAGGGTTTCCAGCATTGATCAAATTACTCTAACAGTGACAAATTGAACAAGACAAACGGTGTGTGGGGACATTCAAAATGCATTAAATGCACATGGAGGAGTCAAGGAGAATGAAGAGAGGAAACAGAAGAAAGAAGGCTTCCAAGAAAGCAAGGATACACGGATGCAGTCTATGAGGAAGTGTTATTGCTACATAACCAGAAGTGTCATGAGCCATACTGTAATAGGAAAAGAGCTAAATGTGGTTTCTGACATTTCCTTTAAAAGTATTATCAGAGACGTATTCCTTGAGGTTACACTTCATAATTAAAAGCAGAATTAATTGTATATATTTTGTTGAAAATATACATATAGAACTAAATACGATACTACACTATGAGGGATGTCTTACGCATTAAGGCCAGTGACAAGTGATGCAGTAGTAACGCTAACATTTAGGGACGTCGGTTAACCGTGATGCTCCAGTGCACGAGGATGTCAATTTCCCAACCGAGGACTCCGGTGTCATTCCATCTTTCCCTGGCGTCTAATAAGTGTGGAGCAAGGAAGATATGCAAGCAATGGAAATAAAAATGCAAATTGAGGTAATTGGGTGAATGTAGCCTATGCTTAACTTCTTTAGCACCACTGATATGAGTACCAGCTCACCTGTCAGTAATGGAGACATGGCGCACAGTAACAGTGATCGGAGATGTGATGCAGGAGCCGAGAGAACTCACTGGAACTGTCGACAGTTGTACGAGGAAGATACATCCTGTCATGTGCAATCAACAGCTCTCGTCAGTCACCTTGCTCTGTGCTTTATAATATCTGTATTCTTATGATCAGTATTTTTAATATTGCACTTCACTTCAACACCGACATATTATAAAGGGTATTGAAAACAGTTGCCCATTTATTGCACTACAGACAACATCACATTGGAAGATACTCGCTTTATACGTCCAACTCAGACTGCTGAGGCTCATTACAGAAACCCGTAACTCTTCTTAAAAAAGAGTTGTTTTTTTTAGTGGGGTATGACTAGCAATATTTAATATTTGTTTAGTAGTAGCAGGAATGTATTGTTTGTTTTCATTCTTTTCATAGGAAAAAACACAGAATATTACCTTAAAAAATATATATAACCTATCCTTGACCAACTAGGGCAGCTCTGACCACTTCACAGGTAATTTCTAGACTTTGTGAGTGGTTTGTTAATGGGATGTGTGGGGGGTGTAAAAAATTCACAGTGTACCCACTTCTCCAGTTACCACCACATGAGTTAGTACAGCATCCCTGCAGGAGCGCGTTCTTTCATCTCTGCAGGACCAGACTGCACTCACACTGAAGCTCAGTGATTAAAAGCTCTCACTTCAGATTGTCAGACCTCAGAGCTGGCCTTTACGCCGGGAGCCGGTTCATTTGTCAGTAAACAAAATCCAAAACGAATTGATTGCTAACAGCACAGGACTGACAGGGGAGCTGTGAAGCACTGTTGCTATCGAATCCATGTTAATATAATGGATTTAGCGCTTTGTTGTTGAACTGATTGTGATTGTTTCTTTGCTGCCATTCAATTTAAAGCCACATTGTTTTTATCACCTGCTGTCTTGTGACACAGGGAAGCTTATGTAGCAAACAAATACATGTATAAATGATATAGCTTAAAAAACAAGGTAAATCATTGAAGTGTATGATATGTTGATAGGTAACAGCACTACTCATCTGTCACACATAGCTTTGAAACCATAATAGAGATTGACAAAAAGGCTAGAAAAACAATTTACTCCTGACAACTGGGAACAAATTTGCTTCCCCTTTTATCACATTAAGAAATGACTGGTCTGCATAAATCTGATTTATGATCTTAAGGGGAAACAATTGTGAGTGTATGATAAATACTGTGCTGTTAATCCTCTGGGTGATATGTCATTGAGTTAGTGTCAATACATCACACCTGAGACTGTGATACATGAATCTAATAAAAATTCTTGTTTTGGAGAAAGCTATCAATTTGGATCTGAAGCTTTTTGAGGACTAATATGTAAACCTGCTGACATATGATCATCCTCTTGCCGGTGCTGTTTGCTTCAAACATATTTCTGCTGCTTATAGGCACAGCATCTGTCCATGTTATTGCTCCTTATGATGAGCACAATAACAAAGCAGATGTAGACAGTGTTGTGATGTACAGGAGAGGATTATTCTCTCAGAAAGGTTCAAGAAGAGTAAAAAATAAAGAACAGCAGTTTTCAGGATCTTTGACAGCACTGAGGAATTGAGCTTAACCTTGAACAGAAAATACATTCAGTATATTGAGCATGGAAGAATATGTTCCCATATTATTTGTTTTCCTGTGCCTAATTTACCAATTTATATTTGAGGAAAAGGACTCAGAAAAGAAGAAGAGAGAGCAAGGGGAAACTGAACATGCACACACATCTGTGCTCAATCCTTTTGTATCTTGTAAGGTCTTGTTTAAAGGATTTTTATGGCAGCTGTGAAAAAGATTTGGACCTATTTGTTTGCAACAATTTTTATTTCAAACAATGTTTCAGATGCGCATAAAGGCACCGCAGCAAGAGAGCAGAACACAGACATGTTTCGAGCTCAGCGCTCCTCCTCGGGCATCTACGAGCACAGACCAGGAGCACTGAGCTCGAAACACATTTACTGCATTGTTAGATCTGCATTGTTGGATCTGTATTGTTAGATCTTAGCCACAATTATGTGTATCTGCTGCTCACTATGTGCTTTCGTTTATTCAGGCTCATATAAAGCCTCAAAGAATAAATGTTCACCCTTTGCCAGCATGGAGCCTCCAATCGTTTCCCTTTTACATTATACTGTGAACTACTAAGATGTTTTCGCAGGAGTTGGTTGACCGAGGCATCGCCTGAATGCCCGTAAATGAGAAAAAAAACATGTTGTTAGATGGCCAGAAGCACATCTGTTATGGAAAGCCCATTTTGCTTTTTTTCTGCTGGATATGCTGCGCACAAACAGCCAATAACACTGTGTCCTGTGGGTTCCTGTCCCAGCTTTGTTCACACCACAGTGCAACAGCATTTTGCCAAGCACTTTTCTTTTTATAAAAAATAATGTATTAAACCTTGTGTGTCCAATTGAGATGATAAATATAATCTCCAAGGGAGCCTTGTACTAATTTCTATCAAGAAAATAAATATTTCTTACAATTAGGCTATAAAATTGCGCCTCAAAGATGAATAAAAGTCTTTATGTTTGATAGGTCTTCAGAGATGACATAATTTGTAATCCGTCTTTCCTTTCATACCCTGTAGTAATAAACACACACTAACACAACCCCCTGCAGTGTTAATGTGTTGATTTATAGTGGGTCTCAGCACAGTTGAAGTGAGCAATTTTCCTGTACCCATTACCCCTCGATAAATGAAACCAGGATTATTTTCCTTTTTGTTTTAGTCTTTCTGCCCCTAGAACTCAAACATGACTTCATACAGCTTTAAATAGAAGCTACAATTCATCCACCATATCCACCATTATCATCATTCAGTGACTCATAAATATGATTACACATTTGTGAATTTGTGTGTGTAGCATGTGTGTGTATCTGGTGCTGTGTGTGTTTGTGTGTGTATTGTACCATGCGACTGGTCCTCCATGTGTCCCATAGTTTCGATCTGCTCCACCAGGTCATTTGAGTTCCACTGACTCATGCCCAGCAGAATGGCGCTTTTCCCCTCCATAACATCTGCTGGGGCACACATAGAAACACCCACAACAAGTACACACACACATACACACAGAGACACACACACAGAAAAACACACACACACCCACACACACAAGGAGTTAGACATTACAGCATAAGACAGAGACACATTCCTCTCCGCATATTAATAATATGGAAACTTATTGTTCTTGAAGCTCCAACTGATCAAAGTTAATCAGGTGATTTAAGTAAACAATACAAGAAAACACAACAACAACAACATGGGAGACAGCAGCGTCTGGTAAACATGCACATGGCTTGTCATGACTGAACACAAATGGAATAGCTACTGTGCTGCCTTTGCCAAAGATAATATGTAAATGTGTTCAGAATGATGTTGACACATATTAATTACACCCTAAAGACTTTGGTACAACATGTTTATCAAGCAGGCCCACCAGATTTATATCTGTGTTTATCCACCCTCCACGGGAAGCAGTGTTACATCTTCAGCCACATTACTGGCTGCTGCTTTTTTATTAGCTAATACAAATTCAAAGTCATATTTGCCACACCATGTGCTGCGTCATAATGAAATGAAACCTGCAGTGTTCATGTCCACGTTACATGAGCTAAAAATATGTGTATACCCTGGACCTTTGGAGGACACATTGATAATGTTATTACCATGTTGCTATTAACCGTGGATATAATAGAGAAAAACAGTTGTAGTTATAGTTGTTATAATAACTACAGGGCATAACCCATCACATAATATCACATCAAGATTTCATTATTCATAGTTTTTAAGTGTAAATGACTGCGGGAGCTCAAATTTGTTGTCACTGGAGGACCCTGCACATCTTTACCACTTAGTCTCTCGCGCACAGATAGCAATACAATGATCTTTTAGATACAGATGTCAAAACGTCAGCAGCTGGCTACGGCCATTCTTGCTCATCAACACATTGCTCCATAGTGCTGCTAACAGTCAAAACATCCACATGATATCTTTAAGGAAGGTTTATTACAGCAATATGTTCATTGTAGACCACCATCAGGTTTTTTAATTGCTTTCTCTAAATAGTGAAACATTGCTCTAAAAAGGGTAGGGATAACAAGCAAGAATAGTCATAACAGGTCGTAAACAAACCCCAGGTTAGTCAACGTTTCTTGTAAGAGAAAATCAAAGTGAACAGTGTTGTTTTCGTGTTTATTTATATCACACAATTAAGCCTGAGCAGAGGTCTAAACAGCCAGAATAACTTAAAACATGGACTCCCACACATGACGGTGAATGACGTGCTCTGTTGTAGTGGAGAATATCAAACTAAAAGAGTGGTTCAACATGACCAAAATTGTTAAACGCTCGTCTGAGACTGCCTTTCAGTCTGAGACAGGGTGAGTCATGCAGGGAGAAAACCCTCTATCTGACACGACTTCTCTCCTCTCTCAAACGTTCGTGCCTGGCAGCTCTGAAAGACACTCTGGGAGTCTACACCGCCTGTCCATTTGGATCATACAGTGGTCTGTCTTACGGTCACAGTTTGTCTTTTCCTATCTGCTCTGTATCCCTCCACCTTTGACGCACTTTCTTCCCTCTGTCCAGATGTAACACTAGCTGTAATTAATGCTGAAGGTACAGAGTGCACACACATGATTCAAACACACACAGAAAAACACAAAGAAAATGGAGAGGAGAGAGGAAGAGACACACACACAGACAGACTTGGATATAAGCCAAGCGTCGCACGGTGTAAGTAAGCCTCTGTTTGGACAGGAGGAGAATTTAAAGCAGGCTTTACACCCTGTAAATGCAGGTTACTGAGTCATCTCCTCGAGGGGTGCACCTCGCAGACACAACATAAGCTCTTGGAGGAGCAAAATGTGCAACAAAAACAAATGAAATATACAAATAATCCTGATAATAGGCCAGGAACAATAATGCCTGTTGTGTTTGAAATACATGCAAAATCAAATTTGAACAACAGAAGAAAAAAGACAAGTGAGATCTGCCTGCAGCCAGAAACCCAGAGGGAGAGAAAAATGAGATTTAGAAACATCCTTCAACCTGTCAGCTCACGATGAGTAAGTGTCAAGTGGAATAGAGAGAAATGGATGCTGCGATTTTTGAACAATGAGAAAATGACCTCAGGTGATCTCTATCACTTACAATTTTTTTGTTGGCGCTGCATTCTCTGTTTCTTGATCTTACCATCCTGCATTAGTTGGAATTAGCATTGGAATTACTAACACACAATCTCTGGCATTATTTTTAGGCTCCTTCAAGTCCCGCTGCACTATAAAAAGATTGTTTAGGGAATGGGGATTATCCTCTAAAATGGCATAAACAGTCAGATGGATGGCCTTAAAAACATGATGACTACAGCTCATAAGCATATATCATAATAATACGTGTGTAATCTGAAAATTGGATCAAATATACATTTTAAGATAATTTACACAAGAAATTGTGTGGAACTTTTACATGTTGTTGAGATTTAATTATTGTTTACTGTACACACACTGAAAATATAAAACCTTTAACTCATTCTTTTATGTCTTTTGTTTTGTTTGTATGGTGCAAGAAGCCTTTTATATGAGTTCAAAATGGAGTATATCTTCTTCATACATCTTGTCTTCCTAGAGCTGTCATATGGGCCACTTGGCAACACATTTAATCAAAAGTTATTGTGTATCCCACTGTTACAGATTTGTTTTTATAGTCTGCTCCTTAAAACAGCAGCCCTTCATACAGTATGTTTATTTGATACAGCTTATTTTATGTGGAAATTCTGCATATGGCCTGAATATTTTCAATAGGTGGTCTGTTTTCTTTGTATTATTTTAATAGAAAGATCATGGTTATTTGAACACACTTTCTATACAGTACGTGTTATTTCTGTCTTATCCTTGCTTATCGTTGTGCAGCCAATATATACGAAGCAGGTTTGTTTGTTAAGCAGTTTCATTCAAATCAAACCCTGCAGCAACTGATTTCCCCCAATAACACATCTTCAATGGGAGAGGAAAGTAATCAGTGAAATTGCCACCTGCAGGGACAGCTTCACAATGAGAAATGTATTGGTCCGTGGGTCAAATCCACTCAAGCTGATGTTGAGTGTTAGCAACACGCAATTTACGTACTGTTCCAACACCAAACTGTGCATATTCCCAAATAGCTTATACAGTATGTGTTACTCCTTATTTAATTTCCTCTTTAATCTTGTAGGACATGGAATACCACCAAAGTGTAAAAGCTGAATAATGCTGGTTAAAACACTCCCAAAATCTGAAACCCAGCCAAAATGTAATCAACAACCAGAGAGGTTTACTGGTAGACAAAATACAAATGATACATTAAAAAACGTTAAACAACATGCAAACAAGATACAGGAATGTTGAGTAAATACACTATCTTATGAGACTGGTTTCTTAGGAATTTAACAAAAGATTTCTGAGAAGAGATGGAATAAATCTATCTTTCATTTACTCTTTCTCGGTGCTGCGCATGGATATTGATGTAGGATTAGTGAGTGACGATAGGCGAGGGAATGGAGTAAATTACTTTAAAGACACATTGTTTCACCGAGAGCTCAGACAAACAAAATCATGGGGGAATGAGATGTGTGTCTATGTGCTCCTATACTTCTATCAGTGTGAGGACCAGCTTGAGTCGCATGATATGTTTGTGAAAAGCATTTTAACCATTTCAATGTGCTGCTTCCACATCTCATGACTTTGTCTTTGGAGTTTAAGGGATGAACTTGCTTGAAGTGAATATATCTGCACTTTCCTTGTTGTTCGGAGTTTGATTCTTTGTGGCTTTTGCACTTATTGTAAGTCGCTTTGGATAAATGCGGCAGTTAAATGATATGTAATGTAATAAAATGCAGACGCATTTAAAATGCTTGCTCACAGTAAAATCAACAAAAGAGTAATATAGTAAAGTAATAATGCACAAATCATCCTTTTGCCTTCTTCTTTTGAATAATAATTTTTGGTTAAATTCTTTTATCAAGTACATGTACAAATAATTGTACCAGCAAGTTTAATTATTATTTTAAATAGGCTACTTGCACATAAACATAATTTACTTCCAGTGGCAATTTATTATGAATTTAACTGTAGGAGTAGCTAACACCAGACAGATTTAGCCTGAAATTATTTAAATTCCTGTCATCAAATTGTAAATCTGGATAAACACAAAGTACACAGCATCAATGAACATAGTGACAAATGAGTTGGCATTCCCTGAAGCAGCCTGAAGGCACATTCAGTATTGTAATCCTGTGCACAAATGTGTGTAGCTGTACAAACATATGAAATAAACGGAGGTTGATTGATGCTGAGGGGTTGTGAGGCAAAAGTAAATACCAGCAGTATGCTGAGAAGAAGAGAGGTGTGATTTTTCATTTTTACTGTGGAGGGGCCTTTCAATTCATCAGAATATTCAGATGGCGTAAACTGCAAGTGAAAGCAATTCTGCATAAATACCTCCCGCTGCTGCTAACCACAGACAAAACCGCCAAGGAGCTAAAACCCTGTAGTCAAATATCCATTTGAGATGTATTGATATATGCATTCAGACTGCAGGTAAAAGGGCCAGAAATCACATGGAATCTGTTATTTTGAATGCATCCTACGTTTGTGATGTCGTATCGCAATTCATACAAAATGTCCATCTCTGACTCAGCTGGCTCCTATTTATAAATGAAACCGTGAATACTGACTTCAGTGAACTACCTGTTTACTTCTCTAAGATAGTGACAAGCATGTCACATCTTTGCTTTTGTTCTTTTGAGCATCCGGGTGATTTGAGGACCTTTACCAGATCACACTGAAACCTGATATTGGCCACATGGTCAAAATAGTGTGAATAGCCAAACAAAGAAATCAGATATGAACAAAAAATCTAAATTTAGCACCAAGCATCAATTCTGAACATGACCTTGTGTATGAGATAACAAATCATGAGACAATCCTACACTTCAGAAATATAAATAAATATGTGTAGGTCCTAATTTGGCACACTGAAGGTATT